CCACCGTCCACAGAGGGGCAGAGAACTTGTGAGGTCCCGATAGAAAGAGGTTTGGTATTTTTAATTGGCAGCAAGCTCTTCGCGGAAGAAGTGAATAAATGTACAACGTTGAGCGTTTGTATGCCGAACGCTGGGTTCACAACAGTAAATTCTATCTCGTACAGTGGGTTGGGTATCGCGACCTTACATGGGAGATTGCCAAGAACCTACCATGGAAGCTGAAAGTAGACTTCGAGCTTGAGACGATTAATTTCGTATGGTTGTACCAAGCCACAAGAGGGAGGCGTAGAACTGCGTGACCGACGCGTTTCAGCTCGCGAATTGCTAGGCAGAACATTTAATCCTGTGTTTATAGGTACGGATAACGAACTTAATAAAATCAGAAATATGTACTGCCCAGTACATTCATTTAGTTTCGATTTTGGGACAATATAGTACATATGTACTGTACTGTGGAATTCCTCTATGTACCACTAACCATTCGCCTCCGATACACTGAACAGTATATGTACACGTATTCGATGTACATTTTAGTCGTCGATCCATGCCACATCTTCTGTAAAAAAAAAACATACACTTGCCTTGTGATATCAGAAGAGGCTTGAGGTGATTAACTTTCACGACAACAACGGAATGCAAAAGTGTAGCATTGCACGTTACTCAATCCGCACCTGCTGACATACCTTAGCGACCTAAACGGGTTTGTCCAGTTATCGTGCTCCTGTTTATAGGGATGCCGTCACCGCATTTCCGGGTGACCCTTCCGTCTACTTGAAGAACGGGTCCCAGAATTTTACGCGTCTTTAGTTTAGAATGAGAAGGTCCATCAAGACTAAGCAGCCTATTATTACAGTGCCCGCCAAATCTTTAAGACTCCCGATTTGGCGGGACACTTCTGAATCGCTTCGTTTTCGTGCAGGCCACGTCGAATAAAAGCAAGACGCAGAGCGTCAATAGCGTAGTCCGACATGGATAAGCCATGAGGTAGTAAATTACGGTAGCGTGAACGAAACTGAGAACGTGATAGCATTATGGCTGAAACTAAAATGAAGTGAGGTTATCTAACAAATAAACAGAAATCACTTCTTTCGGAGAAAAAGGATCGTAGAGATTTATGGTTTTACCAGTTGGTGCTGCGTAGTTGGTCGACTCGGTGTACC